TCATACTCGTGATTAACAAATCAACCTCCCGCTACGCGGTCGGTTGATTTTGTAATCACTCGTATGATTATGGCATTAATAGCACTCCTATTCGTTCTATTACCATCATTAATTGTACTGCAGTACAATTAATGATTTTCCCAAAACAAACAAAATGGCGGAAAGGTATTTTAAACACAAATGTGAAATGAAATTGCCCTGGAGGAACTAGATGAAAATACGAACAAAAGCACCAAATTTTGCTTTAACAAAAGAACTAAATGAAAATACGAACAAAAGTACCAAATTTTGGTTGAAAGTCTGGCAGGACTGGGCTTTGGCGAGAGAATATGATGTTGACGGAGAAGTATCCAATTTTGTCATATGCTAATAATAAACAAGTAATCATGCGATGTTGCTCGTACAATTAGGGATTAATAGTACTCGTGATGTTTGGAAATTTGCCAAATTGGACTCGCCCCGGCGGCTCGTCTAATTTTGGCAAAATTTCTAAACATCACTCGTACTATTAATCCCTAATTGTACTCGCCATCGCATGATTACCTATACATATAAATTATTCAAATAAAAAAGTTGCCGTTTGCTTGCACAATTTTTTTCTCTGAATTGCTCGCAGCAGGAACTTTTTTCCCAGTCATTTTTCTTGGCACGGTTTATTTGGGGCGAACTGTCACTTCTCATCCCGGGATTTCTAATGGTCCACCTCTAAATCAAATATCATTAACAGGAGGAGCCAGGTTACGAAACTGTCCCGACAGTTGTTCGAGAATTTTACGATGACGTCAACACAAACGCAAACAACTCGGCTGAAGACACATCTGCTGAAGGTCAGTAATATATTTCACTAACCTAAAATTCCACTAACCTTGCTATATGTGTAATGGTTGGACAGTCTAAGAACAAATGTAAGTTTATAAGAGGTAATGAGGGATGTGACTCTCGCTCGTATTTGACCACCACTTTCATCGACCATCATCAACTTTGAGCTGGTTCAAATTTTGATGAGAGTTGATGGGACAGGGTTCGTAGCGGTCTTTGAAATCCTTGAAAGTCTTTAAATTTGAATGCAGGTCTTTAAGTTCTTTGAAAAGTCTTTGAATTGTGTGAAAAAGCGAAGAAAGTCTTTAAAAGTCTTTAAATTCTTCAGTGATTATTTGATAATACGATTTCCTAGCTAATAAAATAGATTGATTGAAGCACGATTTTCGCAAATATCGACGAAAAAGTACATTTTAGGATGTGATTTGACGGGACTAATTACCTGGTAAAAATGGTGCTTATACATCGTAATTTTTCGACACCTGATTGCTCTCAAAGGTCTTTGAAAAGTCTTTGACAATAGGCAGAAAAAGTCTTTGAAAGTCTTCGAAATTTTTTGGTCTTGGAGACTACGAACCCTGTGAGAGTTTTCGCCACAGGCGGTAATATCCACTCAACTCTCATCAACTTTCATGCAACTCTTGTTCTCATTCAACAGGCTAGCATGAGAATTGAGAAAAATGTCGCTCGCTTGCCAAAGCTCTCATTAACCCTATTCATCGTTTTTCCAGGGCTTTACGAGGAGGTTGGAGTACCATCAGATGCACACGGGACGTCTGGATACGAAACGCCAGGCCAAATCGAAGCCTATGAAGAACCAAAGATGTCGCAGGAAAATTCTGGTTATACTGAGCTTGATAAGAACAGACTCCAAGGCAGAAATACAACCGATGATAACAACTATCAGAAACTACAAAGGCGAGATTCAGATTATGTTATACCAGCGCATGAGAGAAGAGAGTCATACGAAGACATCAAAATGGGAAGAAACTTACCAGGCTACGAGGCGTTGGATCAAAGCAAACGTGAAGCTGACGAATATACCCCGCTTACCAAAAGTGGACAAAAACCTGAACTGGCCTGAACTAAAGTCGTGCACATGGATTTGTACTTAAAGGGAAATGGCAATAAAAATTAAGTTTGTCTTCTTTGGAACTGGAAGAACTTTTCAAAATTATAGACGAGGACCGTTCACAATTCTTTTCTAAATTTCTATCTTCTTTGGTTGTCGCGGAAATAGTATTAGAGAATATTGATGTTACTGTAGCAAGTGTCAAGTTGACATTTTTAAACATTTTTCTCATTTCGTGTCCTGCGACTTCTTAAAACCTTGTATTTCGCTACTTTTCTTACTGTAATCCCGCTACCAAATCAAACGTAATCTCACTTCCCACAGTTATTCGCATATTACCTATAATTACATAGTGGTTCTTATCATTTATAGACCTGGACTGCTTGGCCTTTGCCCCTCGGGAAATATCATGACTTCGGTTTTCGCCGTCTAAATCGCCGAATCTCCCGAGCAGAGGGTCTATAAATGATATATTAACCGAAAATTGAAAGCCTCCAAGTCGAGAATATAAAACTTGCCACATACCTTCGTGAATGCATCGCATGTATTTGTCACTTTTCTTTCTAATTTCATATCGTTTGGAATATCAATGGTGACATTTTTCATAATTTGCTTCACAATGATCAGGGACGCCGGAACTGGGGGGGGCAGGAAGGGCAGCCGCCCCCGTTGCCCTTTACCAGGAGGGGCAAGGGGGGCAAAGGTGCCCTTTCAATTTAAAGGATTGCCTTGGCGAAATAGCGAATTGTCAGAAATGTTAGTGCAAATTTTTTACGAATTTGCTTCAGA